GAAAAAAGTAAGTGGAAATTTTAGAACAAAAATAAGTTAAAAATAGCAGTGGACTCAATGGTAAGATGGAGAGGTAAAACAATGGAAAATAATTACTATTCTATGCAATAGAGTGAAAAGGACTTAAAATAAAATGAACAAAACCTCAGGGACCTAAAAGAATAAAACAGAAGATCTGAGTCACAGTCACAGTAGGACAGAAGAAAGTATGGGGCTGAAATAATGACTGAATTTGCTGAAATTTGACAAAAGACCTAAATCTACAGATTGAAAAAAGCAAACAGACCTCAAATAAGACCCCCCCCCCGAAAGACAAAATCTTGAAAGCAGCAAGAAGGAAACTCTTACCTATAAAAGAAAAATTCTAGTGACAGTGGCATTTTTCAAATGCTGAAAGAAAAGAACTGTCAACCCACAATACTACATACATCAAAAATACACTTCTGGAGTGATCAAAATATTCTCTTAGTTGAAGTAAAACTAAGAGAAATTGTGTCTAAGCAGACCTCCCCAAAAAGAGTGGCTTAAAGAAGATCCTGAAATAGAAAATGAGAAAAGCAATCTTTTTTTTTTTTTTTTTTTAGTTTTTAAAATTTATTTGTGAGAGAGCATAAGTAAGGAGAGTGACAGGCAGAGGCAGAGGGAGAGGTAGGCTCCATGCTGAGCAAGGAGTCCAATGTGGTACTCGAGCATTGGTGGTTCAGTGGTAGAATTCTCGCCTCCCAATGTGGTACTCGAATCCAGGACCCTGGGATCATGACCTGAGCAGAAGGCAGCAGCTTAACTGACCGAGCCACCCAGGCTCCTGAAAAGAAGCAATCTTCAAATATCACAGTAGATGGAGAAGTGGAAAGAGCAAAAAAAAAAAGTCAGTACAGTAGATTTTTCCTTCTTGAGTTTCCTAAACTGTGGTGGTTGAAGCAAATTTACGACATTGTCTGTGATATGGTTGTGTGTGTGTGTGTGTGTGTGTGTGTGTGTGTGTGTGTATAAAGGAAATATTTAAGACAATTATATTCTAAACCAGAAAGCATAAAGGCAGACAAGGTTTCTACACTTCCGTATCTTTTTAAGTAATTATTTATTTGAGAGAAAGTGAGTGAGAGCATAAACAGGGGAGCAGGAGGAGTAGCAGAGGGAAAGGGAGAAGCAGACTCCTTGCTAAGCAGAGAGCCAGATGACGGGCTCAGTCCCAGGAAACTGGGATCACGACCTGAGCCGAAGGCAGACACTTAGCCAGTTGAGCCACTCAGGCGCCTCTCTGCATTTCTGTATCTTGACTGCCATGATGATGACATGGAATACACAACGTGCACTAAAGTGACAGAGAATTATATACACATTCCACCAGTGTTTTTCCCTCAGTGATAATCAATTGCAGTTACAGAAAATGTAACCAGTGGGGGAACCTCTCTATTGTTTTTACAACTTCCTATGGTGGGATTTATCTCAGAATTTTAAAAGATAAATGTTATTCAGTGGCCTATGTATACCCGTTGTCTTCTAAGACCACCTTAGGTCTTGCCCTTGTGATCCAGAGACCAGATTCCCTGACATTTTACATTCTTTTCTCTGTGAGAAGCATCTTTTCCAAGGCTACATTTTCACTTCTTAGGGTGGACACTTCTGTAAAGCCTTCCTTGTTCCCCTAAGTCTGATTCAAGCATGTCTTCTCTTGTGTGCCAGTAGTCTTCTGCTCACATACGTATCAGTCAATCTGTAATGAATAGCTTGCTTGTCTGTTTTCCTGCTACACTGTGAGTTTAAAAAAAACAACCATGCTGGGATGCCTGGATGACGCAGTCGGTTAAGCATCGGCCTTTGACTCAGGTCATGATCCCAGGGTCCTGGGATTGAGTCCTGCGCTGGGCACCTTGCTCAGTGAGGGGCCTGCTTCTCCCTCTCCCTCTACCTACCACTCTGCCTACTTGTGCTTTCTCTGTCAAATAAAATCTTTAAAAAAAAAAAAATAGAAGAAAAACCATGCTCTTATAAATTAAATTTATAAGAGGAAAAGATAGCAAGAGGTAAAGATAATGGAACAGTGGCTTACCATTCTTCGCAGAGGACTGCCCTGCATCTACTGTATAGAGTCCTGAGTTAGTTTCTGTGGCCTAAGTCACTGTTTACCTGACCACACAGCTCATTCTTTCCCTTTGCCCATCCACAGGAAATTTTTAAAAATCAGTCATACAACCTTTTTCATATATTTATTCTATTCCTGTCTACTTTTAGTGGCCTGATTGCACTCAATGCAGTAGGAAAAGAATGTATTTTTATTCCTGATTAACCGTACCTTTGGTTGCATTGTAGAAATGTCATGGACTTAAAACAGAATGAGTTAAATTTTAAAAGAATCTTGGTGTGTGGCAGGCACCTGAGTGGCTCAGTCTGTTAAGCTTCCAACCCTTTGTGCTCAGGTCATGATGTCAGGGTTGTGAAATCCATCTGCACGGTGCTCTGCACTCCGTGGGGAGTCTGCTTCCCCTCTCCCTCTGCCCCACTGCCCCCCAGCTCACACACTCTTTCTCTCTCTCTCTCATAAATAAGTCTTCTAAAAAATAAATTATCTTAGTGTCGAATGAAGTACACTTCAAGTATTTTCATTTAGCATGGTTAAATTGATAGATTTTTTTCCCTAAAGGGAAATAATATTTTTTACTGAATATTAATATGATATATTTGGGTAATCCAACATAATTTCATATCCAGAAATAATTGCTGTTGTAATTGTCTTTCCAGGCACTTTAAAGCCCATATAGGGGTACCTGGGTGGCGCAGTCAGTTGTGTATCTGCCTTCAGCGAGGTCATGATCCTGTGGTCCTGGGATCGAGCCCCATGTTGGGCTCCCTGCTCAGTGGGGAGCTTGCGTCTCCCTCTCCCTCTCCCTGCCACTCCTCCTGCTTGTACTCTCTCTTGTCAAGTAAAATTAAATAGCCTTTAAAAAACAACAACATAGGGGCGCCTGGGTGGCTCGGTGGGTTAAAGCCTGTGCCTTTGGCTCAGGTCATGATCCCAGGGTTCTGGGATCGAGCCCCGCATCGGGCTCTCTGCTTGGTGGGGAGCCTGCTTTCTCCTCTCTCTCTGCCTCTCTGCCTACTTGTGATCTCTCTCTGTCAGGTAAATAAATAAAATCTTTTAAAAACAAAACAAAACAACAACATATAAATGTGTGTGTGTTATTTTCATAAATGGCTTATAGGAAAGCATATTGTTCTCTTTCTGGTTTTTCATTTAACAGTATGTTATGGACACCTTTCCTTATTAATGCATACAAATCTGTCCTCCCTTCTTAATGTTCTGATATATGACTGTACCATAATTTTTTTTTGTAAGATCTATTTTAAAAGGAGAGTCTTAAGCAGACTCCATGCCGAGTGCAACACAGGGCTTGATGCCATGACTCCCAAGATCATGACCCTAGCCGAAACCAAGAGTCAGATGCTTAACTGACTATACCACCCAGGCATTCCTGTACCATAGTTTTTAAATGCAGTTTACTGGTAGTTGACCTATATGCTTTCTACTCCTTATTGTTAAGAAGTAGTATTGTACTGATAAATAATTTATGTGGTTCTTACTGCATCTTTGAACTTTTCAATAATTTTATAAAAATAAATCCCTAGAGGGTGCCTGGGTGGCTCAGTGGGTTAAAGCCTCTGCCTTCGGCTCAGGTCATGATCTCTGGGTCCTGGGATCGAGCCCCACATTGGGCTTTGCTCAGCAGGGAGCCTGCTTCCCCCTTCTTTCTGCCTGCCTCTCTGCCTACTTGTGACCTCTCTCTGTCAAATAAATAAATAAAAATCTTAAAAAAAAAAAAAATCCCTACAGTTGCTTGTTGTTTTTTCGGGGAAACAAGAATTCAGATTAATGCTCAGTTTTGTTTTGTTTTTAACTTGTTATTATACTGTATTTTAAGGAATTCAGATTAAAATATTTAGTGAACTTCTTTATTTGTACATTCCCCGTAGCAAAGGAGCTGAGAATCTTTTTTTTTTTTTTTTTTTTTGGTTAGATTTTATTTATTTATTTATTTATTTGACACAGAGACAGGAAGAGAGGGAACACAAGCAGGGGAAGCCGGGGAGGGAGAGGCAGGCTTCCCACTGAGCAGGGAGCCAACATGGGGCCCATCCCAGGACCCTGGGATCATGACCTGAGTCAAAGGCAGATGCCCAACGACTGAGTCACCCAGGTGCCCCTGAGAATCTTATTTAAAGCTAGACTTTTGTTGGGGCGCAGGGGTGGTTTAGTTAAGTGTCCGGCTCTTGATCTCTGCATTAAGTCTTGATCTCCGTGTTGTGAGTTCAGGCGCCACGCTGGGCATGAACCCTACTTAAAAAAACAAAAAAAAACAAAAAAACAAAACTACACTTTTGAAAAAATACAGGGGAAGTGCAGTAACTTTACTGGAAACTAAAATCTTCCCAGTATGGAGTTTGTCTGTTTTGGGGTACTCTAATATGCAAGCAGATCGTTTGACGGTAGAAGGTACCTATTGTTCTTCTTTGGTTCTTTTAAACTTCCTATTTAGAGAATTTAGGAAACTGATGCTAGCAGGAGGGCAGAACCAATGAAGAAGTGAACTTCATAAGAAGTTGATACCCTAGACTCATTCAGAATTGTTCCATCTGGGATCTTTGTAGGGTTAGTTTTTTGGACCTGAAGTGACTTGCCCTGAACTCCTCAATACAAGGAACCTGAGTGCCTCTCTTCATGCAGGAATAGTGAGGAGGGCAATACCCTGTTCTGCCCCCTGGGCTGCTGCTGAGTGCAGAGGAGAATTTAGTTTTGGGGTACTGGAGAAAAGAAAATTAACGAGGCCAGATTTCCTCATAAAGGAGACAGAATTTAATTAACCTTTGGGAAGGATCTGAGTTTACAATAGTGTTCTTGGAATTACCCATTTCCTTGATTTAAAATGGTTTAGCATAATTAGATTTATACTGGGGGGACAATATCCAGTTTTAGAAGTTGACAGTGTGATTTATCTTTTCAGAATTCAACAGTAACAATTGAAGAATTCCATTGCAAGCTCCAAGAGGCGACAAACTTCCCTCTTCGTCCTTTTGTGATTCCATTCCTCAAGGTAATTGTTATGAGATAATTACTGAATGTAATTTATGTTTAGCTTTTTCTCAGGATCTGCTCCTGATTCCAGTTCTGTGATCTCAGGGTGGCTTACTGTATTTTCATATCTTTATTTTGGTCTGCTAGAGAAATGTGAGTGGTTTGTAGATAATAAAAGCCTTACTTACACGTGGTGAGATGAGAATTGCAAAAGCCTTTAGCTTTTAGTGGTCCATATGTGGCCACTGCTGGTAACACAGGAATAGGTGGGGGTAGTAAATGATTGGGCTGGATGTGAGTGTGGGGATGCTATGGAAACTGGACTCTTAGCAGAGAAAGTAACTGGACACTAAATCTTCTGTTCGTGGCCAGAGGTTGAATGAAGCGTGTGTATTTTCTGAGAGGAGGCTATCAGTCAAGGAGACGACTTAGAGTTCCCACTTGACTTAAGGGCAGAAGAACATGTGGGAAGGCGGTGTTGCTGTCTCCCCAGCCGCAGTTAGACTAGCTTCTGATCACATCCTCTAGAATTTGTGTTCCCTAGAACATAAGTTTTGGGAGACATTGTTCAGACTTGTTATATCTCTCTGACAAATAAGGCAGTATTAAATTTATATCTAGGGGCACCTGGGTGGCTCAGTGGGTTAAAGCCTCTGCCTTCAGCTCAGGTCATGATCCCAGAGTCCCAGGATCAAGTCCCACATTGGGCTCTCTGCTTGGTGGGGAGCCTGCTTCCCTTCCTCTCTCTCTGCCTACTTGTGATCTCTGTCTGTCAAATAAATAAAATCTTTAAAAAAGAAAATAAAATAAATCTGTTTATTTAAATATTTTTAATGTTTATTTATTAGAGAAAGAGTGGCAGAGAGCTCAAGGGGGGCGTGGGGGTGGCTGCAGAAGGGAAAGGGAGAAGCAGACTTCCTGTTGAGCAGGGAGCCCGATGCAGGGCTCAGTCCTAGGACCCTGAGATCATGACCTGAACTGAACCAGCTGAGCCACCCTGGTGCCCTCCAGGTCAAGATTATTAATATGAATGTGCAAACAGAAGTAAAACTGGCTTCTATAGAGTGGGCAAAGGAAGTCAGTTTAATCTCTACTGGACATAATATTATGCATGTCCATAGATACCAAGTATTTTGCACTCCTATCAATAATTTGCCAAGATACAAAGTAACTAAAAGGCAGTGAAAGACAAGAGTCAAATACCAGTGTGCTCTAGACCAAGCATAGTTTGGAAACCTGTGACCCAAATCCAGCTCACTGCATATAGCTCCGGAGAGGAGAATTGTTTTTAAACTCTATGTCCAATGTAGAACTTAAACTCACCATCCTGAGATCAAGATCAGATGGTCTACTGACTGAGCCAGCCACGTGCCCTAAGAAGAATAGTTTTAATAGGGCGCCTGGGTGGCTCAGTGGGTTAAGCCTCTGTCTTTACGGCTCAGGTCATGATCTCAGGGTCCTGGGATTGAACTCCGCATTGGGCTTTCTGCCCAGTGGGGAGCCTGCTTACCACTGTCTCTCTCGACCTGACTCTCTGCCTACTTGTGATCGCTCTCCTTCTGTCAAATAAATAAATAAAAACTTTAAAAAAAAATAATTTTAGTAGATGAACAATTATAATCAGTTTGTGATAGGGAACACAACTCTGAGCCCCAGTTAACGTAAATGTTTTATCTTCAACCCCCAACAAAATGAATTCCATTCTTTTTAGTAGCAGTAGACTACATGTTACAAAAATTACATTCTGTGGTTTATGTTGTTCAACTTTTGTCAACACAGTGTAGAAATTTGTTTTCTCTCTTATATATGCGTTACCCACATAATATATTCAGTTTTGTCTCTTGACTCAACACCTAAAACATCTGGCCATGTAAATATACCCCTTTTACCTGCTTTTACCTTCACTTCCTAAAAAAATATAATAGCATAGGGGCACCTGGCTGGTTCCGTTGGGGGATCATGCAGCTCTGGATATTGAGGTTGTGGGTTCAAGCCCTATGTTTTGGGTGTAGAGATTACTTAAAATCTTTTAAAAATATATAATAGTAGGGCACTTGGGAGGTTCAGTCAGTTAAGCATCTACCCTTTGGATCAGGTCGTGATCTCGGGCTGGGATTGAGCCCTTCGTCGGGCTCCCTGCTCAGCAGGGAGTCTGCTTCTCCCTCTCCTTCCTACCCTTTACCCTACTCATGCTCTCTCTCTCTCTCTCTCTCTCAAATCAAAAAATTTTAAAGAAAAAATTGTGTGTGTGTGTGTGTGTGTGTGGTTTTATATATGATGTGTATATATGTGTGTGTATATGTATATACATATGCATCAAAAAGATGCGTCATGTTACTAAAGTATTGATAATTAGTTTCTTAAATCTTTTTTAAAAATATTTAAAATTATTATTATTTCATAAAGATTTTATTTATTATTTGCCAGAGAGAGTACATGCAAGGGGAGCGGCAGGCGGAGGGAGAAGCAGGCTCCCTGCTGAGCAAAGAGCTCACCCCTCCCAGGACCCTGGGATCTTGACCCGAGCTGAAGGCAGACACTCAACCAACTGAACCACCTAGATATCCCTAAATCTTCTAAAATTAGATTAGGGGTGCCTGGTTGGCTCAGTCAATTGAACAACTCTTGATTTCAGCTCAGGTTTTGATGTTGGGGTCCTGAGATCAAGCCCCATATTGGGTTCACCACTCAAAAGGGAGTCTGCTGCTTTTCCTCTTCCTTTGTTTCTCCCCCTGCTTGCACGCTGTCTGTCTCTCTCTCACAAAAAAAAAAAAAAAAAAAAAGATTTAAAATTAGAGTGTAGCAAACAAACAGGAAAATTCGTAGGTGTCAGGTGCCCAGGCTGTGTGTGCCTCTGTTCCGATAGGATTGAAGCCTTGCTTCTCAGAGCAGTCTGTAGTGCCACCCTCAGACAGCTGTGCTGGTTCTATCTTGGTCTCTTTTGCTCTATGTCAGAGCTAATAGACAATTATCCCCCTTAAGACTACAGAACCAAGAAAGATTTGTGAAATTTTTGTTAATAGGAAATAATTAGGGGCGCCTGGGTGGCTCAGTGCATTAAGCCTCTTCCTTCGCCTTCGGCTCATGATCGCAGGTCATGGTCTCAGGGTCGTGGGATTGAGCCCTGCATCCGGCTCTCTGCTCAGCAGGGAGCCTGCTTCCCTCTCTGCCTGCTTGGGATCTCTCTCTCTCTGTCAAATAAATAAATAAAAATCTTTAAAAAAAAAAAAAGGATTTAACATTTTAAAAAATTCATCAAAGGGCTCATGTCACCGATGCAAAGATCTGACATGGTATTTTTTTTTTAATTTTTTTTTATATAGTTGCTACAAGATTGAGGTTATAGAACAGACTTAAAAAGTGTTTTATATTGTCAAATTCCCTATTCTTAACTCTGTTATTTTGGAAAACAGCATGAGGTAGGTTGTTATGGCAGCTCTTTGGCTAACATTTGGATTTTGTCAATTTATTTCTGCTTTAAAACAGTGATAATTATGTTGCCTGCTAAATTAACCCTTGGTAAAGGAGTGACTTCTTGCATCTATTAAAATTCTCCTTTTATTTGTTCATCTGTTTCCATTGAGATGAAGACTTAGGTTATGGGCTCAGTCTGAATTATTATTAAATTTGGGGAGAAAATTTAATTATTATAATAATAATATAATTTTCTTTTAATAAAAGGAATATAGGAAAAGTACATTTTACATATGAAGGACTTAGAGTGAACTTCATAGATATATAGGGTTTTTTATATGATTTGTCCCCATTAAAGGTTTTCTAAGTTTGAGAAGAAAGTATAATCAGTATATAGTTAATTATCCTTTTACAAAATAAGAAAACATACGCACCTAGGGTGCCACACTAAGAAACAGATTTTGCCCATGGGTCACCTGTGCATTCTCAGGGTCTAGTCTAATGCTCATTGCCTCCATTTCCATCACTCTCAATACTTCTTTAAAATCCCATTTCCTACCATGCCAGAATAATTACTGCTTCCAGAGTTCCCTGATAGCTGTCACAGAGAACATGAAAGGAAGGTTGGCCGGTGCTATCAGAGTTGGGTTGGACTTCGAAAGAGAGAAACCAGGACTTACTTAGTGATAGAGGAAAGAGAGAATTCCTCCTACCCCTGTGTAGATAGTACTAACTCTCTGACCTCTTCAGCAATACGTATTTAAACTTTTTTTTTTTTTTTTTTTTTTTTTTTAAATTTTAAGTTGGTTCCACATCCAACATCAGTCTTGAACTCTTGACCCTGAGATCAGGAATTGCATGCTCTACCAACCGAGTCAGCCAGTTGCCCCCCAAATGTATAAATTTTTAACTTAACTCTGTCCAACAAACCTTCATTGAGCTTTGATTCTGTACTAGGTCACAAAGGTAAAGCCCAGTTTTCCCCTTTAGGGGCTTTACACCTTGTGGGGGAAAAAGAGGCAAGTTAACCAATAGTTCAAGTTCAGTATTATAGATGTCACTTCATTCATAGAGAGGTATATAAAAATCAGGCTGACAAGGAGAGAAGAGGGGGTTTTGTCTTGTTTTATCTTATTTGTTAAAGCCTTTTCAGGTGCTGAGCCCTGTCGTGTAGGGCCCAACACCTGGAAAACTGCCTTCCAGCCCCTGCCTCTTCTTTTCAAGGCCAATCTGCCCCTGCTGCAGCGGGAACTGCTGCACTGCGCCCGAGCCGCCAAGCAGACCCCATCCCAGTACCTGGCTCAGCATGAACACCTTCTGCTCAACACAAGTATTGCGTCGCCTGCTGATTCTTCTGAGCTGCTCATGGAAGTGCATGGAAACGGAAAGAGGCCCAGTCCAGAAAGGTGAGCAGAGAAGTGCTTTGTTGTCCTTGCTTTTCTAGAATTACGCTGAGCTTCTCCTTTGCTTGCAAAAGAAAGAGAATTTGATTACTGCGATTTTATGTAGGTATGGATGCAGAATTTGTAGGGTTAGTTTTGCTTTGTCCCAACGTCTGATAGCAGAATGTTTCTCCAATCTGTAGGTGTAGCTTCCAGACACAAGTATTTTTCAAAAACTCTTCAGATGACTATGTATACCCTGGCTGAGAGACTCCACTCTAGGGCATTCTATGGGTCCACTGCTCCAGAACCATAAGAAATACAGTCTGGGTCCCCTGAGAGGGCTCAGTCGGTTGAGCCGCTACGTTCGGCTCAGATCATGATCCCAGGGTCCTGGGATCCATCCCTGCCTCAGGCTTCTTGCCCAGCAGGGAGCCTGCTTCTCCCTCTCCCTCTGTCTGCTGCTCCTGCTGCTCCTGCTCTCTCTCCTCGCTATCTCTCTGTGTAAAATGAATAAATAAAATCTTTAAGAAAAAAGAGAGAAAAGACCAAGGCATTTTTTCTGATGTGTGAAATCTAATAATAAAGTATAACAATTAATAATTGATGCTTGCTAATGAATCCCTTTTATTTTGATGATTAAAATTGTATTAATTTATTCTGGAAATTCCAGTATGAGTGTCTGAAAGTGTTATTCAAGGAAGTAATATTTTAACACAGTGGAAAATTAAATGCAGTGTGAAAATTGAAGCAAAATGACTGAAAACTGTACTGATTCAAAAGTGTATTTTGTGAACCGTTTTCCTCCCATGTGAAGAATTGTTTCTTTCCAAAAATGGATGTCCAGAGCAGCAAATTTAACCTCGAAATGTTTCTGAACATAGTTGAGCTCATAATCCTCTGTATCCTGCCACATAAGAAAATGCTATAATTTCTCCTTTGCTTCATGAGGTTGAGGAGTTTCTGCCGGATTGTGGATAGATTTAACCTCTCTTTTCATGCTGGAATAAATCACAGTTTATCTGCCTGGCCCCTGGAGAAATTTCCATTCATGCCTTATGTTACACGTTTCTTTATTATCTTTCTGTTTGTGAAATTGCATAGCACTATACATAACACAGATCTGTGCATAAGACATTTTTGCATGAACAGTTGTAGATGGGCTCAGATATGTACTTTCGGTTCTTCTACAGGAGGGAAGAGAACAGTTTTGAAAGAGACACAATTCCTCCCGAGCCTCCCACCAAGAGAGTATGCACCATCAGCCCTGCTCCCCGGCACAGTCCTGCCCTCCCTGTGCCCCTCATGAATCCTGGGGGCCAGTTCCATCCTACTCCTCCACCTCTCCAGCACTACACCTTAGAAGATATTGCAACTTCACACCTGTATCGTGAGCCCAACAAGATGTTAGAACACCGTGAAGTTCGTGAGAGACACCACAGTCTTAGTAAGTAACATGAGCAGCATGGTAATGCTTTTAAATTCAGATTGAATCTTTGGGTTTCTATCCTGCTCACAGTTACAAAGCAAAATGATACAATTGTTGCTTTTTTCCACTGAAAAGATAAAACAGTATTGTACATAAAAAAGAATTTTAGAGTGGTTGTGACCTTGTTGCTATTATCCTTAACGGTAGAACTGGGATTAAATGCATTTTAGGAAATACATAATGAAATACTTAAGAATAAAAAGGTATCATTTATTCTCAGGGTGCAAAAAACTAGAGAATGTTGAAACAAATTAGCTAAAATATTAGCGTTTTGGAAATCTGGATGAAAGATATATGAGAATTTGTTATACTGTTTTTGCAATTTGTCTAAATCTGGATTTCAGAGTAAAGTGTTCTTAAAATTAAACAAAGATACGAAATATGTGGTCTTGAAAGTGAGAGTGCAATGGATGGTTAGGTCAGAAGGTGAGGCATATCTCAATTTAAATCTTGGGTCTGCGTCCTGGTTGGCTGTGTGCTCTTACGCAAGTTGCTTAGGTTCTCTGAGCCTCGGGTTATTAGTTTCTAAAATGGAGATGATACTGCCACTTGTGCTGGGTCATTGTTACATTTGGAATGCCTGGCATATGCATTCTCAGCAGTCGTTAAATTTAGGAAGAAGCAAAAAACAAACATTACCCAAGATCAGTTTTGAACAAAGCTTATTGTCCTGTCCTCATATAAGTTTACTATAGAAGGTTTCCTTGGAGTAACTGCTGAACAGGTGTCAGAGCAGAGAACCAAAGGGCTGCTAACTTCTGGAGCTTTCCCTGCCTTTCATTTGTGGGGTACCCCATGGAGTGAAAAAATTGCAGCACATTTGCTTGTCCCCATTTGGACTTAGGCTCAGCTCAGCTTGCTAGCACCTTTCAGAGGCATGTATCCTCTGTATCCTATCATAGTAGGACTCTGGCTTCATGCAGTGGTAGCTGAATGGCGAGAGCCATGACAACAATGTCAGCTACCAGCATTTATAGGTACTGCTTAGATTGCAGTATATGCCCATCATATGGACCTTATCTCGTGCAGTCCTCACAGTCCCATGCAGTTGTTATCCCTTTTTTAGAGATGAGAGGTAAAGGAACTGTCACCAAAATCTCAGAGCTAGAGTGAGTGCTAGAGACAAGATTCTGACCCAGCTCTCTGATGCCCAAAGCTTGGCAACGTTGCTGATACGCTTCGGTGCCTCCCTTTGCAGCTGTTCTGTGTGGTCCAATCCCTTTTCTCCTATGTCCCTCTTTTTCTGTTAAAAACAGGGCTTGCTGTTGATTCTTCTGTATTCATACATACTTTTTAACTAGTTTGATTCATTACTTTTTGAGAAAGAAATGTGCTGAAATCTAGCTGTAACTGTATTGTGGTCAGATTTCCCTTTAATTTCTAACAATTCTAGAACTTTTTTTTTTAAATCTTGAAATGTTCTATGTGAAAGATCTTCAGTACTCTTCTTCGTGGTTTGTTTTAGGTTTAACCATTTGTCTTCTGGGCTGGTTACAGATTCCTTCATTTTCCCTAGTCCTCTTCAACTCATATGCCCTAGTTCTCAATTCTTACCAAGCCATTTACTCCCTCCCCTTTTTAAACAAATACATTGCAGCCCCTTCCCTTTGCTCTCCTGAAATGAAAGTTAGAGATACTATATCCTGTCTTAGACCCATGAGGATAATATATAAGAAATTATTAAAATATGTTAGTGCTTAGGCATGACTTCACAAGAAGATATAATAAAGTGTATATATATATGTGTGTGTATATATATATATATATATATATATGCAGGTGCTTACAGAGATACCGGATCACTATCAATACAACACCTGCAAATTTAGACTATAACAGCTGTGTTATACTAATGATTTCAAGACTTTGAGCAGTGATGTCATATGTGACAGGATTTTTCAAAATAGTGGACAGCTCTTAATTGAGTATACCCTTGATCCACACAGTCATTCCATTCTTGCAAATTTCATTATAAATTAAAACCATACAAAAAATATTTTGTGCGAGGTGCCTGGCTGGCTTAGTCGGTAGAACATGCAGCTCTTAATCCTCAGGGCTGTGAATTTAAGCCCTGTGCTGAGCATAGAGCTTACTTAAAAATATACATATTTTTTGGTAATACAAAGTTATTTCCAAGTGTTTGTACTGTACCCATTCTAATTAAGGTTAAGTATTTATTTGCATTGTGCTGCATCCTTGCCAACATTTAGTATTACCTGACAATTTAATTTTTTTCAGATTATGGATATGGAATGCTATCTTAGTGACGATTTTATTTGCACTGTGACTGCTTATAACTTTGAAGGTCTTCACATTGTTTATGTGTTTATGGGCCATCTGTGCTTTTCTGTCTGTGGTTTACGTGTTTCTTTTGCCTGTTTTTCTTTTGGGCTGTTTGTCTTCATAATTGATTGTCAGATTTTTTATATATTCTAAATGTGATTTTTTTGTTGTTAATGGTGGTTTTATGTCATTTTGTGGGTCTCACACACCATTGTAAATCATTGCCCTAGTAGTGTGCTCATAGTTGGTATGGATGTGTGTATTTACTTGGTAGAATTTTGTTTATTGAATTCTTCCCTCTATCATCAAATTTAATCTCTAATTTCTAATAGGTCTAAATGGAGGCTATCAAGATGAGTTGGTAGACCACCGTTTGACAGAAAGAGAATGGGCTGATGAATGGAAACATCTGGATCATGTATGACTCTTAACGGTGTATAATTTCCTATTACATTTAATTCTTAATATTACCAATAATAATGGAGTGTATAAGCCTGAAGTGAACTTAACCAGAGCCACAGTGTCTCTGCAGTAAAAAGTTGATTTATCAGGGTGCCTGGCTTGCTCAGTCAGTAGAGCATGCAACTCGATTTCAGGGTTGTGAGTTCAAGCCCTTCAAGTCCCATGTTGGGTGTAGAGCTTATTTAAAAAATAACAATAAGGGGCGCCTGGGTGGCTCAGTGGGTTAAAGCCTCTGCCTTCAGCTCGGGTCATGATCCCAGGGTCCTGGGATCGAGCCCCACATCGGGCTCTCTGCTCGGTGGGGAGCCTGCTTCCTCCTCTCTCTCTGCCTGCCTCTCTGCCTACTTGTGATCTCTGTCTGTCAAATAAATAAATAAAATATTAAAAAAAAAAAATAAAAAAAAAAACAATAATAAAATAAAATAAACTTGATTTATCTGGGACTCCCCTAGCTAGAGAGCTAAGAGTAACTCCTAAACCTTTGTAGTGGGGTAATCACTTCGGGATATGACCAAGCGAAATCATAAAGGATAATGATTAAAAACAGGTTTGTGAGTTCAGGTCCCAGCGTTGCCACTTCCTACCTTTTCGTGATGGGCAAGTTGTTTTTACAGTTTCTAGCCTTAATTTTTATATCTTAAAAAAAATACTGTACTACTTAAATTCACAACAGGGACATCTGGATGGCTTAGCTGTTAAGCACCTGCTTTAGCTCGGGTCATGATCCCAGAGTCCTGGGATCGAGCCCCATGTCGGGCTCCCTGCTCAGCAGGGAGCCTGCTTCTCCCTCTCCTGCGTCCCCTGCTTGTGTTCCCTCTCACTGTCCCTCTCTGTCAAATAAATATAATCTTTAAAAAATAATAATAAATTCACAGCAGGATGGTTATAATATGTAAGGTGCTTATCACAGGATCTAGTGTGTATGCAAATAAATGGTGCTTCTCCAAAAACAAATGAGAGGGTGGTTTCACCATAGTTTTGAAAGGACTATATTATGGTGAAAGACTCTGGCTCCTTCATCCTGGAAGAATCCAAAAAGTGTTACTAAGACTTTTATTTATTTGACAGAGAGACAGACAGAAAGGGAACAGAAGCTGTTTAAAAAGCTGTTAAGGGGTGCAGGGGTGACTCCAGTCAGTTAAGTGTCCCTCTCTTGATTTTGATTTTGGCTCTGGTCATGATCTCAGGGTTGTGATACCGAGCCTTGGGCTGGGGCTCTGCTGGGCATGGAGCCTGCTTAGGATTCTCCCCGCCCCCCGATTAAATAAATAAGTAAAAAGAAGCTGTTAAGCATGGCTTTCATATGTAGGCTTGATATTGCTAAATCTGTAAGATACTGAAGCCTTCATTCTTTATAGATTACCAGTCCTTAATTTTCAGTATTGGTTATTTGAAAGTCCTAATCTTACTTCTATTTGATTTCCTCTCTGGCTTAGGCTCTGAATTGCATTATGGAAATGGTAGAGAAGACAAGGCGCTCCATGGCCGTTCTACGGCGCTGTCAGGAATCTGATCGCGAAGAACTCAACTACTGGAAAAGACGGTGTAACGAAAACACAGAGATGAGGAAGACAGGGAGCGAGTTGGTCTCCAGGCAGCACAGTCCTGGGAGCGCAGATTCTCTCAGCAATGGTAAGGGGGAGAGTCTCACTTAAGACAGTAGGGAAGGTTGGCTGCCCAGGTAGCTCAGTGGTTAATTGCCTATCTTTGGCTCAAGTCATGATCCCAGGCTTCTGGGATCAAGTCCCACACTGGGCTCCTTGCTCAGCCGGGGGAGCCTGCTTCTCCCTTGCCTGTTCTGTCTGCTGCTTCCCCTGCTTGTGTTCGCTTGCTCTCTCTGACAAATAAATAAAATCTTTATTAAAAAAAAAAAAAGACGGCAGGGAAGGCTTTTGTATTTTCCTTCAAAGGAAGATGGTGCTACATTGTAAAGTTAGAAAGACCCAGGTGATGATGAAGAGTAAATAATTAAATATGTCAAGGATTTGGTACCTGGCATGTTCAAAAAATACTGTCTAACTCGTGGATGATGAGAATATTTGTGATTTTGTTGTTTTTAACTCTCTCTCTCCATGTGCTAAATGATGATCAAAGAACGGTTGTTAAAAGTCACCCTAGCTGAATGACCTGTGTACTCTCATGTACATCACATTTATTCTCAGTAGTAGCCCTGAAAATCTAAAAATGTTCTCCTCACCTTCCTTTCCCTCCCACTCCCCATCCTGGAAAATACCATTTCTTGACCTCTGTCTGGAGGCCTGTAGTTTGTTTTGTTTTTAAGAATCTATTTATTTGAGAGAGAGAGCCCAAGTACGGTGGGGGGAAGGGCAGAGGGAGAGGGAGAAGCAGGCTCCCCACTGAGCAGGGACCCTGGCCTAGGCCTCAGTCGCAGGACCGTGGGATCACGAACTGAGCCAAAGGCAGTTACTTAACTGTCTGAGCCACCCCGGTGCCCCTGGAGGCCTTTATCAAAAGTTTTACTATAGCAAGCTAGGTTGTCCCATCTTGCCTCTTCTCAGCCTGAAGCAGCAGAGATACAAACAACTATTCTCTCAATCCAGGTTACGTGCAGGATGCCGCAGCTTTTTCCTCAAAAGTGCTCTATCACATTCAGCTAGTAACTGAAAATGTCACCCTCTCCAAAGACAGCTATATGAGGGGCCATCTGTGATTAGACTTTTTTTTCACCCACCCACTATAAACTCCCTCTTTTCAGAAGGAAGAGTGAATCTCTTATTATGGCAGATCTAGCATGTTCCACAGACAACAGTTGTTAGTCTAAAAAAGACTTTAAAAGACAAAGACTACGATAACCCAAGGACCACACTCCCCACACCTTCTACAAATCTTTTTAAAAAAAAAAGCGAGAGAGAGAGAGACCCTCTCCATTTGAACCCTCACAAATAGTCCCCATCACAACTTGAAGAAGCATCTATAATTTACCATCCAAATCCAAACCTTGCCCCAGGCAGTCTGCCTGTGTTTAGGTGAGCAGCATAGAGTACAGGGTGAGCTGTGGTCCTGAGCTAGCTCTTCTCTAGCCCCCGTGGCAGGTCTTCCTGGGGGCTCTGTGTTACCCTCTGTTCATCTGTTTCAGTATCTTCATTTATGCATAGTATACATATTTTGTATTTTTTTTTTAAAGATTTTATTTATTTATTTGACAGACAGAGATCCCAAGTAGGCACAGAGGCAGGCAGAGAGAGAGGAAGGGGAGCAGGCTCCCTGCTGACCAGAGAGCCTGATGCAGGGCTTGATCCCAGGACCCTGAGATCATGACCTGAGCTGAAGGCAGAGGCTTTAACCCACTGAGCCACCCAGGCGCCCCATATTTTGTATTTTTATGTTACTTTTTATTTCTCTTCTATCGTGTTCATTGCAGTGTAGACAGAGGCATCGTTCATATCCTCAATAATCGTGCAATTCAAAATGTGGATTAGAGCCATTCCAAAAACAGTTTGTTACTGGACCATGATCCTACAAGGGGCCTGCCACAGCATGTACTGGGTGCTGTTTACTTACTTTGGCAAGAGCCCTCTACCTTAAGCAGTGTGCTTAGAGACATGGTGGTTGTGCAGTCTGGCCTAAGTTCACTGTCTCTTTATGGGACCTTTGTGGTTGTAGAGTAGCATTTGGAAGAGCACTGTTCTACACTTGGCAGTGTTCTTGGCATAGCACACAGACGTACCAGTGACTTAAATAATTAGATAATTCGTGGTTTGTGGGTGTTTTTAGCTTTTTTTGGTAATTCATGTTTTAAATGTTTGGGTTATGCAGAAACCGCTTGTGGATTATTTATTTAAGTGTTTAGTATTTAAGTATATTGGTGATTTTCAGAGAAATGGACTAGAGACTGGATAGCATTACTACTTTCCCCATTTAAAAATAATAAAATAAAGGTTCCCTGTATCTGAACATTGGTGATTTATAATATTTTCAGGGTTAAATTTGGTTCAGACAACAAGGGATATATTTTGGAATTTTATTTAAGGATGCATAAATAAGTAGGAAAAGCATAAGGAAACAGAAGAAAGTGATCATCATAGAGATCAAGAGAATGGTTTTCTCTGGGGGTTTGGGGTGGAGGCTGTGGGTGATGGAGAGTACAGAGTGAGTGCTCATTGTCTTTACCAGCTCTTCTGAGGACAGGATTGTAGGTCTGGCTAGCATCCCTTGAACAGCACTGTGGCTTAACTATTACTCATCTCTTGGGGATTTGGGGTTGCTGGAAGTGTCTGTCTTGACCAAAAGGTTTATGGATGTTCACTTTATAGTTTTTTCAGCAAACCATGCATTAGTATTTTTATGAACTTGTTAGTCATCTAATCCAAATCAGATGAGTTTCAGAAACCATGAGCAGACAGTGAAGATAGTGTAGTTACTGAAAAAGTAAAAAAATTTATTAGAACTGAAAGGCAGTATTCCAACTTGAACCAGTCTACGAATTAAAGCAACACTGTGGAAGAAACAAATATCAGTATCATGAAAGTTAGAAGACAACTCTGAAGGAAAGTCATTTTAACTTAGAATTCTGTGTTAGGCCTGGGGCTCCTGGGTGTTGCAGTCAGTTGAACATCCGACTCGGTTTGGCTGGGCTGGGTCTCATTCACGGTATCAAGCCCCACTGTGGGGCTCTACACTGGGCGTGGAATCTTGAGATTCTCTTCCTCCCTCTGCCCTCCTTCCCAGTTTCAAGGACACACTCTGTTTCTGTCTCTAAAATAATTGAATAGATCTTTTTAAAAATTCTGTACTAGACCAAAACCATTAAATGTTTGGTTAACAAACTGCAGTTTTTTCAAAAAATGTACTCAGTCATCAAAATGATGACTCAGTTGGTTAGGCGTCGGGCTCTTGGTTTAATCTCAGGTCATGATCTCATGGGCCCTGAGATTGAGCCCCATGTCGGGCTTTGTGCTCACTGGAGAGTCTGCTTGATGGTTCTCTTCCTCTGCCCCTCTACTCACTAGTGTGCACTTGCTCTCTCTCTCTAAATAAATGTTTTTTAAAAATGTACCTCTGTATTGCCCTTTATCATGGTATCTACCACAGTTGAGTAGGATATACCCTAAAAGAGGGAAGTAAATCAGAGTGAAAGACATGGAATTTATTAAACAGGACCCATCTTAAGATTGGAAGGAGGGGTACCTGCCTGGCTCAGTTGGTTAAGCAGCTGCCTCCGGCTGAGGTCATGATCTCAGGGTCCTGGGATGGAATCCCAAGTCTGGCTCCCTGATCAGCAGTTAGTCTGCTTCTCCCTCTCCCTCTGTGATCTCTTGCTCTCTCTTTCAAATAAATAACAAATCATTTAAAAAAAGAGAGAGAGAGAGAGAACAGAAGGAAATCCCTAACCTGGTGAGGGAGGGTCGTAAGCCTCAGGGCTTAGCAAACCTAGAAAGCATTTAAGGTTGGAATAGCCTGAAAGCTTGCTGGAGATTTCAAGAAAATGAAATTTAAAAATATTTATACAATAGAAAGAGAAGTTGACATTGAATGAGAAATAATTACATGAGAAATTTAGCACCTGACTAAACAAGACAGTTATTAACTCTAAAAAAAAGGGGGTTGCTGGGCACCTGGGTGGCTCAGTTGTTTGAGCGACTGCCTCCAGCTCAGGTTGTGATCCGTGAGTCCCAGGATCGAGTCCCACATCGGGCTCCCAGCTCCATGGGGAGTTTGCTTCTCCCTCTGACCTTCTCCCCTCTCATGCGTGCACTTGCTCTCTCTCTCTCTCTCAAATAAATATATAAAATCTAAAAAAAAAATTTTTTTTTAATAAAAAATAAAAATGGGATCAGGAAGATACAAAGATTCACAGAATCTGAACCACATGACTCAGCTGTGATAAGCATTTACATTCAGTACTGTGAATGTTGACTACTAGTGAGACACAATTTGAGTATCTCTGTCTGAGGGAATGGAAGGGGAAGAACTTGTGAATGTATCTGGGGTGACGTGGGGGTGGCAGTTAAAAGAGAGTGAAATGGCTGGTCAGTCAATAATGCCCACAGTGGAAGAATCTGGATGTAGCAATACCAGAAGAAAGAAAGTTTACCAGTGTTACAGTAGAGAATACATAAGATCGACAGAGAGGTGGTCCTCCCAGTATGGTTTTGAAGACTTCACTTATGAACCCTAGATTCTAAATCAGGCACTTTTCTTGAGTGGTTAGTCCTGGGTGCCCATTAGATTCCATGCCCTGGCCCCATGTCAAGATTCTGATTTAATTGAACTGAGGTGGGACCTGGGCTTCCAGAATTGAGACCATTGCTTTATATATCCCAAAACAGTCTCATGGGGTCATCATCATCATTTTTAGTTGAAATTACATGGCTCCTTGTAGAAAATACAGAAACTTAGAAAGAAATTTATTAGCTCCTCATCCCACCCTGAAGAATTTTGAAATATATCTGAGAATCCTGTTACAGCTTTGTATTATTTCTTAGAAAATGTAAGTTCATATTAAGCCTGTTCTCACATTATTAAAGATTTTACAAATATAATTTCAATAACTGTACAACATTCTACCTTGTAAATATAATTTGTTTATTCCATTTTTGCTGTTGAACATTATCTTTTTTTTGCTTGTTTTATTTTTGTAAAATCTTTATATGTAACAATTTTTCAAACGTCTTGCATCTTTCCCTTAGGATATATATTCTTAGCTATAAAATTAATAGGTTGTGAATATAGTCATTTTTGTTCATTTGATCTTGGTTTTTTGTTTGTTTTTTCCCCCATCCCATCTTGTTTTGTTTTGATGGATGAGATAGCTAATATTTATGGAATTAAATCCATCACTTCCTTTTATAGTTTGTTCCTTGACCTTGATCCCCATCCAGTGTACAACAGATACATCTGTATTATATTCAAGACTTGTATTTGGGTATTAGCTATCTAACTTAAAATTTCCCAACTTGTTTAAAGTTTCCTACCAGCAAATAATGAATACCCATTCTTTAGATACTGAAATGATATAATTATCTGATACTCCATTTTGTTAAATACTTCAGTTTTCTTCATTGATCTTTCTGACTATATTGGTTAATAAGTTTAGTAATAATAGTTTATCTGGGCTCTTACTGTGTTCTAGCCAGTGTTAAACCTTTCACATGTGCTTTCAAAGCTGTTGAGTTATAAGAACTGCTATTACATTCTTTGATAGATGGCAAAACTGAGGCTTAAATAAATTAAAAAGTTGGCCAAAAGTGGTCTCATTATTAGTAAATCAGGATTGTTAAGTATGGCATTCCAGAACCAGCACACACTCTTTAAGCCATTAGGTTCTACCACTTACCAGTGCAATATCAAACTTGTAATTATTACAGCTTTAGTATGTGTTTTAATATCTGGTCATGTTAGACCCACTTTTTTTTTCCTTGGGTATTTTAATTTGTTCTCTAAAATAAGATTCTTTTAAATGGATTACAGTGTAAAAACGGCGAGCAATATGGAAACCTATAAATAGTGAAAATCCTGCTGCCACTGCACTTTTTCTTTACTGCTCCGCTAGGCTCACTTATTAGCAAATTAGTCTATTCTTATAGAATTTTCTATACATATACTTAAAGAACATTTTTCCCAATTTTTTATTTTGAAGATTATCAGGCACATAAAAATGTTAAAAGAGCACACATTTTGTACTGTACCTAGATTCATCTTGTTTTTCACATTTTTGCCCTGTTTGCTTTACCCCATTATAGATGGGTAGCTAGGTAGGTACACTCTCCCCCAAACCATTATGACACTCATCTGTAAATGTTTTGTTCTATTTCTCTTAAGAACCAGAGCATTCTCCTATATAACCACAGTACCATTTCATAGCCCATTTCTAACCAATTATTTGCATTATCTGTCTTGCCTTTGATTACAGTAGCCTCTGAGACTCTACTTTTCTTATTGAACCAGCTAAAAATCCTAATTTCTGTTCCTTTCTGGATTAAAGGTATAAAACCAGTTACTCTGGCTTCCGGAAATACCATGAAAATGTCTCTAGTTTCCAGCTGTGTTCTGAGTAAGTGGAGAAATTCCTTTAGGGTCAAATACCTCTTACCTTATACATCTGTCAGTGAAATAAAATACTGGGGACTGCACAGATGCAAAAGATAGAACCAAGGCATGTGATAACTGAAACGAAGCGGTTTTTTCTTGGTTGGTCAGACATGACTTCCCCCACATCCCCACAAGTAAACAAGTGTTTCTTCTATCATTTAATACTAATGGTAGCTTGTCTACATGCTCAAACCTTTTTTCATATTTTCCTGACTTAAGATTCCACTGAAATTGATCCACTACCTTCTTTAGCTTCTGTCACATTGATTCTTCTGATTCTAGATTTTTCCCTATATTTATTTCATGAGTCTCATCCTTGAGTCTCTAGGTGTTAGACAAATGGCTCCGTGAATCAGGAACCTCACCCTCGTTGAAGAGAGCCCTTCTCTTTGCTTTTTATTGACAGTAGTAGCGCTTCCTAGAGAGCCCAGTGTCACAGAAAGTATTAGTATTATCAGTATTTTAAACCTATGGGGTTCTTTCTTGGGTTGATGAAAATGTTCCCGGATGGTTGTACAATATTGTGTTACTAAATGTCAAAGAGTCACACACTTTAAAATGGTAATTTTAGGGGCGTCTGGGTGGCTCAGTGGGGTAAAAGCCTCTGCCTTCTGCTCAGGTCATGATCTCAGGATCCTAGGATCAAGCCCTGCATCCAGCTCTCTGCTCAGCAGGGAGCCTGCTTCCTCCTCTCTCTCTCTGCCTGCCTCTGCCTACTTGTGATCCCTCTCTGTCAAATAAATAAAATCTTTTAAAAATTAAAAAAATAATAAAATGGTAATTTTATTTGTATCTTACATGATTTTAAAAAGCCTCATTTTCCCCTCCTAGCTCTCCAGGGAATATAGAAGTAGGTTCTTTGTGCTGCTAGTTCCTGGAATACGAGAGATTCCCTCCCTTTCCCAGACCAGTTTAAATCCAGTTGCCAGGCATTCTTAGGAGTAGCCATTTTATAAAGCTCCTCTGGCAAACATTTCATGCCAGGCTGCCCTCTCCTCCCATACTGACTGTTCCCCTGATTCCTCTTTGCACCATGGATGGTGAGTATCGAGAGCATAAAATCTGCTTTTCAGATCAGCCTCAATGTAAAGCATAAGGAAATGAGGAACTCTACTGGGATTGACTCATTAAAAAAACTCAATGGACCCACTTCTTACAAAGTATTGTATCTTAAAATCACAATAAACATACTTTGTGTTTGTGTGTGTATGTGCACGCGTGTGTGAGTGTGTGTGTGCGTGTAAAACCCTTCACCCTTATGCCCTTCCCAGTAACCCTCAGGGGTGCCTCTTTGGGGTATACTTGAAATGCACTGTTCCAGATCAGAGTAGTTTCTTTACTACTTCGCTTTTTATTTGTTTATAAGCATTTTAGGAAGTTTTAAAAGAAGCCTCCTTAAATCACATGTAAAAGCTCAGAGTTGCCCCACCCAAAAAAAATCCAGAGTTGCTAAGAAACAAAAGCTACGTTCTCTGACATGTCTTAAGAACAGTTGATGGAGACCTGTACATGATGGGGTGGTTAAATTGGATAGGGATACCCACACATATCTGTTCACTTAAGTACCTGTCTGTAGCTGTATTTACATTTTAGGGAGTATCTTAAAAATACATACATGGTTATAGGGAAACCATAAGGACATACAGATAAAAGAAGAAAGTGAAGATCACTTTTTTTTTTTTTTAATTGTATTTATTTATTTGACCGACAGAAACCACAAGTATGCAGAGAGGCAGGCAGAGAGAGAGAGCAGGAAGCAGGCTTCCTGCTGAGCAGAGAGCCCGATGCGGGGCTCGATCCCAGGACCCTAAGATCACCGAAGGCAGAGGCTTAACCAACACTGAGCCACCCAGGCGCCCCAGTGAAGATCACTTTTAATCTCACTTTTTTGAATTGAAATACTGTTACTGTTAGAGGTGGGCGTGTGTATGTGTGTTTTAGAACTAAACATTAACTGTACTTTTTATAATCTTGATTTTATTCCTTATCAGAATGTTCGTTGCACTAAATGAAGATATATCTTTGAATCTTTCTAAGAGGCGAGAGAGAGGTTTTAACTCCTAGCAGATTTTTCATTAAAATTTTCCATAAAAATAAAGCATGTTGGTTATAGACCGCTTCTGACCCTGTTCTGTTTATTCCTTCTGTAGATTCGCAGCGGGAATTCAACAGTAGGCCAGGAACAGGATACGTACCTGTGGAGTTTTGGAAAAAAACTGGTACGTATTTGTGTGCTTCTAGGTCGCACGTACTCACTAATTTGTGTGAGCATGGAGTGCATGTTTTGGGGAAACGTGGTTGGCTCATAACTTTCTCCTCAGAACTCTAGGCTCCTGCCTCTCCCCTTCCAACTTTCACTTACACCTAGACTGTGTCTCATGTCACTTAGCAGGTCAAGAGTTAGGAATGACTTCCTATAGTCCACCTAAGTCCCTTGCATACCCTTCTGCTGGGTCATCCGTAGGCATTAAATAACCAACTTTTCCTTCCCTATTTATATGCCTTATTTCTGAGCATGTAGCTCGGTTCATTTCTGCCTGTTATCTTCACTCGAATCTACACACATTCTGTTCACACATGATCACATTTGGTTCATTCTGGCCTTGGAACAGCCCTCCACTCTTCCTTTCACCCTCATTGTTCGCAGTTTTGTCAAGACTGTTCTGCATGGGCCTCATTTTCTAGAAGACTAAAAGGAGGGTGGGTCTGCCTCTTGTGGTAAGATAGTGGGTGAAACTAACCTCACGTTACTAATTCTATTCTTGTCCAGACACGACTTCTTTTCCTTTTAGACTCCCTTTCCCAGGATCTTTTTTTTGTAGTCCAGTATAGTTATTTTCTTAAGATAAAATTTAGTTACGCAAAAGTTAATGCTTGTCCTTCATAAAGACTCTTTAGGGAGCATCAAGATCATTATAAACAAATGGACAAAATGTATGAACAAATTGTGAGAAATACAAATAAGCATACTGTAGAATGTTTATTTGACTGGCAGTGTAGGAAAATGTAAGATAAAGCAGCCCTGATCAATTAGGCCCCAGAGTCTTTATTGATGTGTATTTGTTGACCTGTTTTTAGGGGACCTTGCTGATGACTCTGAATAATTCATTAGTGATTTATATATGAAAGTATTTGGTGTGACCAACCTTGAGTATGTGCAGAGCTTTTTAAGATTTTATTTTACTTTTTATTAAAGATTTTATTCATTCATGAGAGAGAGCCTGTGCCAGAGGGTAGAGGGAGAAGCAGGCTCCCCACTAAGCTGGAAGCCTGATGTGGGGCTCAGTCCCAAAACCCTGGGACCATGACCTGAGCCACCTACGTGCTCCAGGATTTTATTTTTAGCATGGGGCTTGAATTCACAACCCTAAGGTCAAGAGTTCACGGCCTATTGACTGAGCCAAGGTAGATGCAAATTCTTACAATCTTTCTTATTTCATGCCTTTGAATTCTTCCTCTCAAAAGCATATAATCCAGACTTAGCCACACAAATTGTTTAAAAAAACAAAAATATGTATAAAGATAATCATTTTTAGTATATTCTGTGTGAATTTATAGGGTGACACCACAAAGTATTATTTTGCCATTAAAAATAATTTGGAGGGCTCTTTCCGCCATATTTCCTTGCCGCCGTTGTGGTGCGCATGAATGTCTTGGCAGATGCTCTCAAGAGCATTAACAGTGCTGAAAAGAGAAGCAGACGCCAGGTTCTTACTAGGCCATGCTCCAAAGTCATCGTCTGGTTTCTTACTGTGATGATGAAGCATGGTTACATTGGCGAATTTGAAATCATTGATGATCACAGAGTGGGAAAATTATTGTGAACCTCACAGGCAGGTTGAACAAGTGTGGAGTGATCAGCCCCAGATTTGATGTACAACTGAAAGGTCTAGAAAAATGGCAGAATAACCTGTCCTGTCCCGCCAGTTTGGTGTCATTGTACTGACAACGTCAGCTGGCATCATGGACCATGAAGAAGAATGATGAAAACACACAGGAGGGAAAATCCTGGGATTCTTTTTCAAGGGATGTAATACATACATGCAAATAAAACGCCTCAATGGAAAATAATAATAATAATAATAATTTGGAGGTACCTGGATGGCTCACTTGGTTAAGTGTCCGACTCTAGGTTTCATCTCAGGTCATGATCTCATGGGTTGTGGGATCAAGCCTGAGACAAGCTACACACTCAGTGGGGAGCCTGCTTGAAGATTCTCCCCCTCGGCCCCTCTCCCTCTTCACGCTGTCTCTCTTAAATAAGCCTTAAAAAAATAATAATTTGGGAAACTATATAGCAGCTTGGAAAAATCTTTGTAGTTGGAAATGGGGAAAGCTTTATTATCAAGAAATGGAATAGGATTACAGGAAATGAAGAAAGCAGTTGTTAAGGTAGAGAGAAATACTACCATGCATAAGATCTCCTTGATAACTAGTGATTTCCTGCTTGGGAGGTACCATTGGTTAACTATGGTTAAGAGCCAAACTTTGGTGTTGAACTGGCTGGATTTGAGTCCTTCCTCTGCTATGGTGTTGTCTGTGACCTTCGGTGACTTTAGCAAGGTAGTTATTCAAACTGTGACTTCTTGCTGATTGACCCTTAATTTGAGAGGTCAGGGAGTTACTATGTTGATCAAGACACCTCTTTGGAAAATAATGAGAGTCTTATGAAGGGTAGCAATGGTGGGTCACAGTGAACCTGTGTAGGTACCAAGAGTAAAGGAAACATGGAGTTCACGGTCAAGTCAGCTCAGCATCATCCTTGTCCTTTGAAGTGAAAACAGCTTTTCTTAAAGGCTGGAGTGATAAGATGAAAAGATGTAGGATGGCATCCTAGAATACTTTATTTAGATCTTCTTTGAGCATAGGCCATGTGAAAGAGCCAAGCCATAAAGGAGGCTTAGGCTTTTGGGTTTTCTAGTCTTGTGGGCCCAAAAAGGTGGTCACTCACATTAGGTCTTGGAGATGAGACTCAACGCATAGCGTATGCCATTTGGAGTGTCCATTCTGTGGAAACCAAGCAGGATGGTGGTGATGGGAGGAAGTGATCAGGAACAAGTGGGGTAATATCGATTGTGGACAGAGCTTTGGAAGCCCAGGCTCCTGGCATGCCCAGATCTGTACCCCACGCTGCTCTGCTCTTCAGTCTTCTATACCTAACTGCCTCCTGGCCATTTGTACCTGCGTGTCCCAGAGGCACTTCGGTCTTCTCACTTGCCTCCACATGGCATTTTGCTTAGTACCTGTTTCGTTTCATAGCACTGTCATTCTTCACCGGTGCTGCCAGCCTCATCCTGCCTCATCCTTTCCTCTGTGCCACTTGCCCCTACCTGAATTCAGAGTCGCTTCTGTCAGCTGCATTTCTACAGCCCCAGCGTCTTGGAGGCCGTCTCTGCCTTCAGGCCTTCCTCCGTACATAGAACCCTTCAGGAGTTCATGTTTTCTTTAGAAGAAAAGCCAGAGTCCCTAGCATGGGTTATAGGACTTTGCAGATACCATTTCCACCTACCATCTCAACCAGGACACATTTTCTTGATCCTCCCTGCCACTTGTAGAGCTGACCACTTTTCTCCTTGGAACTCTATCTCTTGTACTGACATATATTATGGATCCCAAGACACCTGTGTACTTTGATCACAAGCAGGTGAAAAGGACTACGTCCTAGTCCCCTCGGTATCCCTAGCCCTTAGCATAGTGCCTCCCACCATCTACACACCCAACAAATGAGTACATAAACAGACAACTGAGTATAAGAACAAAAGTGAATGTGTATGTCATATGTTAAACTTTATGTATTTTTGGAAAAGTCCTCTTGTTTCAGCTCTGTGCCTTCTTGCAAGTGGTAGGGAGTGGGAGGGAAAAGATTTCTCGGCCAGTTGATTTTACTGTCACTTTCTTCTAGAAGAAGCTGTGAATAAGGTGAAAATTCAGGCCATGTCAGAAGTACAAAAAGCCGTTGCTGAGGCAGAGCAAAAAGCCTTTGAAGTGATTGCAACGGAGAGAGCTCGGATGGAGCAAACCATAGCGGACGTCAAACGACAGGCTGCAGAAGATGCCTTCCTCGTCATAAATGAGCAGGAAGAGTCAACAGAGGTCAGAGTTCTGTTACCCCTGGGGGCCGGGGAATCAGGCAGGGGGGTGGTGTGGTGGTGGCCGGGGCTGAGGCAGCTGCAGTCACCGAGCCCGCTGTTTCCTTAAGTGCTAGGCAGTACGACAAAAAGGGCAGCTCTTGAACGAGATGACATCATTTTATCTATCAAGTACCAGAAGAATTTTGTTTCTTAGTTGTTATATTCTTATATAAAGTAGCTCATTGTGTCAGTTTCAATTTTGAAAACACCCTGAAGACAGAGTTTGTGGATTTACATAATTTTGATGACCACCTTTGACTAGTGGGCTCTCCATGAGGAGGAGACACAGAGTTAAGTGCATGTTGCCTCTTTGATCTTCACAGTGATCCTATGATGTTGGTATTGTTGGGTTCCAACTTTACAAAGCGGAAACTGTGGCTTAAGGAATTTCACTGATGGAATCCCTTAGTGCTGAAGCCAGGGTAGGGGTAAGGAGATTCAGGGCCCTATAGCATTTGGTCTGTTTATAGGTCTTTTAGGGATTGAACTGACAGATCAGGCAGACATGCCCACCTCTCCAAGACCCAGGGCCCAGCACACAGTTTGTTTCTACGCAGGACACTTGTACCAGTGAGGACGAAAGTAAAACTGAAAAGAAAAAAGCAGATGACAAAAACATCGTTAACAGTCCTTTGGAATATAATAAAGTTTTTCTGCAATTTTCCTTTCAGTCATTTTCCGGCTTTGAGATGAACTTTATGTCCTGAAACAAGCCTATTTCTGAAAGTAGGCAGATCCATGTACCAATTAAGACATAAAGATCTTGGGGTTTTTTGTTGGTTCTGTTTAAACAGCAGAAATGTTGCTGTCTCACTCTGTGTAAATGACACCCTGCGGTATAGTAGTGCCAGGCCTAGCAGGTGAAGAGGAACATGCCTAAGTATCACGTGGCCCTCACAGAGGATGTGGGAAAGTTCCTCATTGTAGCACCCCAAGGACTCTGAATTGTGGGAAAATAGTTCCATTGACCCTCTTCTTGTCCTCCCCTCCCTATTTTTCCTTTAGAATTGTTTTTGAGCAGTGACCTCCCTGTTTCTGTTGTGCATATTTAATTCTCTGTCTGTAGCCATCTGCGTCTACATCAGTATCCACTCATATTTACCTGTTTTTATATCTGTTTATCTTCAACTGCATCTGCCTCCAAAAAAGGAGGGGAACGTTTTGGCTAAGAGCATGAGTTCTGGATCTAGACTGTGCGGTTTAAATCCCAGCTCTCCATTTATAGCATTGGGCTGTGAAGGTCCTATCATTTTAAACAGTGCACAAAGTGACCTGCTGGTGAGGCGCACACCGGCACCCATCCCAGCAAACTCTTTCCACAATGGGGAAGGGATAGAAGCTATGGGTTAGTTTGCGTTGGGCCAGAAGGGATGAATTCGCTTTATTTTCATCCAGAAAATTCTGCATGAAGTCCAGCAGGCATTTCTGGGGTTTCTTCTGAGAAGTGGTGGGGTATAATGGCGGGAGCCCAGAACGGGAGGTTAGGAGCCCTGAGTTCTAGTCCCGCTTCCCCCCACACTGGCAGCATTCCCTAAGGACTCCCGTTTCCTTCTCTGTATAGCGAGTGTGTAGCAGCCCCTGTCCTGCTGGTCTCATAGTTTTTACAAAATACATGAGATCGAGATTGTGGTTGTGGAAGTGTTTTTAAATGGCATTGTACTGTGTAGACAAAGGATTTTGTTATGGTGTGAAACCATATGTATATAAGCTGGGGCAGCTCCTGCTCTTGCCAAACCGCGGTGGCCTCTGAGGCCAGATGCCATGAGTCTCCCCTGTAGTGCCTCAGGCAGAGGGATGGAGTGAGGGGTCCCCTCATCTCTGCCACGGGGCACCTGATGCACTGAGCCTGGATTTCCTTGCCAACCTAATGGGCTAGCAGTTGATTATAAGATGGAGAGTCATTTCTCCTTTGGGCCAGCTTCACAATAAGGTAAAGGGGGACTGGGAAGGGTCCCAGGGGTTTTGACAAGTCCCAGGCCATTTTGATACAGGTAATCCCCAAGCCACACTTACAGAGTACAGGTATCCCTCACTTTTTTTTTTTCTTTTAAGATTTTATTAATTTATTTGACAGAGAGAGAGCACAGATAGGCAGAATGGCAGGGAGAGGGAGAAACAGACTTCCCGCGAGTAGGGAGCCTGATGCAGGACTCAGTCCCAGGATCCTGGCATCATGACCTGAGCCAGAAGGCAACTGCTCAACTGACTGAGCCACCCAGGCGCCCCTATACCTCACTTTTTGAAAGTTCACATTATGCCTTTGCTTTTACAAGAGGCCTGTGTTAGTACCTATTCTCACTTGCTGAAAGAAATCTGAAGAGGCTTTTCACTTTAATGAGAAAAGGCAGAAAGCAAAAATAGCGTTCAGCATTCGCTATGCGGAGAGCCCAGCACTGATCAGCAAGACTGGCCCCGCCAAGCTCCTTCCCCAGGAACTCCACTCTCCGCAGCCGTCTGTGAGAGCCTTGAACTGGGTCTGTGAGCATCTGTGTTCTATCTCAATTTATTTTATGCATCCATTAGCAAAATGTGTCTTAAGGAAAAGCCTAAAAGAAGTTATTTTTTGGGTCTGGGAACACTCAAAATTTTTCCATACAAATTAATGCTAATTGTTCTCCACTTCACACCATTTCAGCTTATGAAAGGTTTCATAGCAAGGCTCCACTTCCAGATAGCAGGGGAACCTGTAATAATGGCAGGGACTGATGATCTGTGCTTAACAGGGGAAATTCTAGAATCCCCATTGTGACTTCCCTAGCCAGTAAACTCAGAAGGTTTATAACCTTCTCCTGCTAGCTACAGAGGACTGTTCAGCCATATGTGTTGTTCCAGCCTTGCAAAGCGCTGGTCTGAAGCATGACCACAACAATAGTACACCTTTTGCCTTATATCTTGGCAAAAACCTCATGGCTGTCAGGGGAAAAAAGGACAACAAGAAAAATAATTATTATAAATATATAATGGCAGTCAAGGTGAGAGCACTCGTGGTTTACTACTCTGTCCTGGTTTGAGATGCTCTTGCAAGCTTGGACAGAAAGGGAGCAGAGGCTCTCCCATTCGGCTGGGGCTGACCACAGGGCTGACACATTGGCCTGTGTGTCCACGGCGGCCGCATGTAGGCAGTAACCACCTGATTTCTTCCCCACAATGTTCTGCCAAAGCATCATTTGGATTCAGCCTATCAGACTGAAAGGTATGACATTCTCTGGAGTGTAGTTTGCGTGAGGATCCATAAATGCATCCTGGGAAAGATGTCTGCTCTCTATTCTGGTCCACTGGTGTTGGTGCTGGGCAAATTTGGGCAGTCCCTAGACTATAATTCCTGAGAACTCTGTTGTGTTAGAAGAGTCTGTGATCCTTTGTAAACTCTTCAGAGCTAAACGTGTACCTTGAGTGGAGTAGAGTCAGGGGGTCCAGCTGCCCGGCTTTGCATAGCCTCGCAGTCATTTTTACAGCATTAGCTACATCCCTGCCTGCTGGCTCTCAGTATCCCATCTGCAAAAGGTGGGCTAGATGGCCCCAACCACCTGTCTCCTGTTTTATACTTGAGCAAGTGTCCAGATTTCATTGGGGACAGTGTCTTTCTTCCCTGAGGGGATTATGGAGTGGTCGGGCCAGGCTTCTGATGGGCTTCTGCCATTCTGGAGATGCTGTGGTGGGGGTGGGAGGCCAGCTGGTGCTCCGGTCCTTCCTGACACCTCAGGAAACCCCGTCTCTTCCTGGTAGTTTCATCTGGCCAGTACCAGAGGCTTTTTCTCTACTGAGTGGCTCCTGGGGACCTCAGGTGCAGGCTCTCATGGAGTCCTCGGGAGCCTATGGAAGGAGACTTCCAGGGGGCAGGTGCTGGGAGCTGTGCCGAGTGGCAGCCTCCTTTATGCTGCTGCCCTAGTTGACTGGGGGAAGCACAGGGCTGTCTGTTTACAACTGGCCTGCTGCTGCTTTCACAGGACTGCTCCTCGCTGCTCACCCAAGTCTCACTGGCGCCCACCTTCTGTCACAGTGCTTTTCCCATCGATGCTCTCCCTGCCTCACCCACTGGCCCCCCAAGTTTCTGCTAAAGCCCAGCAGTACCTACCCCTTCCTTGGCGAGTGCAAAGAGTAGCAGCAGAACTTCCAGGGCACTGAGTTCTGAGGTGCTGGGGGGCTCCCTTAAACAAGCCCGAGTGGTCCTCTGACTCCCAGTCCACCTGTGATGAGACATTACTGAAAGGAGAATGGGTACAGAAATTGCACAACTGCCTGCACCCCTGGTCCCCTGACAGGTGACCTTTTTAAAGGATCGGTGTTGTCGGTGGAAGCAGTCAAGATCATTCCTCTATTGAAATCAGCAAGAGAGAAAACAGGATCAAACACACGTATGCATGTGTTGTGTCAGGGACCCTGGGACAGAGTTTGATTTGGTCACTGAGGGTTAAATAGGAGTCAAAACAACAAGTAGGTGCCTTTGGCAGGAGGGGAGACCTACCACCGCCCTCCCCTGGCACTCTTCATCTTGCCGTCCTGCCAACCCATGGCAGGCAGTTTGCCTCTTATTACCGACGAAGGAAATTCAGAGAGGTGTGTGTGTCTGCCACGCATCAGCAAAGAGCAGTTGAAATAGGACAAGCCCAGATGTATGTAGTTCCAAGTGCCACGCTCTCCCCACACAAGATCCAAGCAACTAACCCTTGCCTGTGTCTTGCAGAACTGCTGGAACTGTGGCCGCAAAGCCAGTGAGACCTGCAGTGGCTGCAACATCGCACGCTACTGCGGCTCTTTCTGCCAGCACAAGGACTGGGAGCGGCACCACCGCCTCTGTGGCCAGAACCTGCACGGCCAGAGTCCCCACAGCCAGGGCCGGCCACTGCTTCCTGGAGGGAGGGGCTCGTCAGCCCGGTCCGCCGACTGCAGTGTGCCCAGCCCGGCTCTGGACAAGACCTCGGCCACCACCTCCCGCTCCTCAACGCCTGCCTCTGTGACAGCCATCGACACCAACGGACTCTGAGCCCAGACTTCCTCCCTCTGATGACCTCACAGCGCAGCAGTACATGGCACAGGGGTCCTGGCCGTTTGAACCAGTGCAATTAGCTGTCGGGTCATCAGCAAAAAGTGAAGTGGAGGCAGGAAGAGTGCAAGCCCAGCAGACACTGCTCCACGGCCTCTCCAGACACTTAACCCCAGTTTCCTGTCTGCGTCCTCGGGGAAGCTAGCGTGCTGTTATCTCTGCACACGGGCAGCTGGCCAGAGCTGCTCCCTCCTTCCTGGGCTTCCGGGTTGGTTCCTGTCCCAGCTGAAACTGGCATGGCCGACCCCTTTTCAGCATAGACCACCAGCTCCCTTGCCTGCCTCTTGAGGCAGCAGAGACTGTCAAATGTGCCCCACCAGGCTGGAGGCAGCTCGCCCCATGCACTGCCTCCCTGCCCACCACCCTGCAGCAGAGGCCTGGAGGCTGATAGCAGGCGGCGGAGGAGATCCCCTCTGTCGGGGTAGTTCCTTTAGCCCCATTTCCACCCTCAGCAGATGCCACTGATGAGCCCCACTAGGACTTGGGCCAGCAAAAGCAGCACTCAGGACTCTCCTCGACCCTGCTGTTCAGACTTGTTAAGATGATCAGAAATCACAGGAAAAAAAGTCACCATTTCACTAAAAGCACCCATAATAATGAAAAACAAATAAAACTTCCTTCAAGCATCACAGATCATTTTGGACAAGATTTTCCAACCTGGCTTGCTACTTTAGTTTGGGACCCATTTGTTTCCTCTCTCACTTGATTTTGCTTATGCAGAAAATCGTTTCCAGCGCATGGATTGGTCTGCGGGAGAATGAGACTCAATTATGGATAGTCTGTTCTCTCTGAGCATGTTGGCCAAACTAGTATCGTCAAATCATTGAATGGATGATCTGTTGGAAATGCAGAACCTTTTGTCACCGCTTGGCTGTTTGCGCAGTCGTCTTGTTCTGTGTCCCTTTATCTGAGGCCACGCGTGTCCAGATCACTGTGTGGATTTTCTTCTCATGGTCTGTGGGTGGTCCCTTGGAAGCTATGGTTGTCCCATAGGATATGATTTGTTATGGCTAGGGCTTGCCTCAGCAGTCAAGGCCTGGTCACATCTCAGCAGCCTTCCTGGACCTGAAAGAACTTTTCAAACCTCATCCATAATGCATATTATGTCAACTTATTATCAGGCATACAATCTCAGTTATCTATTTGATAACTTCCCTCTTTGAGCGAAGAAAAGTTCTGTAAAAGGTGACAGCCATTTAGAGAGAGGCTCACCAATTTTTCTTCCCATCATCAGGGAGTCTCCCAGATGTTTACCACCTGTACCCCTCCTAAAATATTAGGAACCGCCACACATTTTTCCCTGCCATTTGCGTTTTATTGGCAGCCCAGTGACCCTGATGCTCTCTCTGTTCACGTCCAGGCCTCCAGCACCCTCTTGCCCCAAGGAATCAGTTGGGGTGAGTTGGTTGGCCCTGCTCCGGCTGGCCCATGAAGCCTGGCCTTAGGTGGCTCCCTCCTGTATGCTGACCAGGGTGAAATCAAACGTCTCCGTCTCATCAAGGAAAAGGGATTGGCATAGTAGCGTTGTCCTCACACCTGTAGCTTACTGTGAGAACTTCTAAGTCCCTATTTACTTTAACTAAAGATTTTCTGTCTTACAGAGAAACTCATGCAAGGCACCTTTAAAATACCTGGATTTCCATTGCATAAAGTAAGATATACCCAGAGAATGAATGATGTTACTTTATTGTGGAATTCCTTAAACTGCAGCAATGGGTGGGGCATCCTGACTTCCAACAGGAATGAAATGAGGACCCCAGGCAGGACTTGTCTGTGTTTTCTTTCCATTAAGACCTGGGATGTCCCATGAGAAGGTGACGGAGCCTGTAAATCAGAGCAGGAGGTCGTCTCGCGGCGCCCGCTGGATCTGCCCCCAGTTCTCTGTCTTCAGTGGCAAGATGCACACCTGGGCAGGTTCTTTACTTCGTCAGTGGCCACAAGACTACCCGGGCTAGCTCACGTCTTTCCTGGATGGAATAAAGAGCTGAAACCAATAGCCTCTTCATGAGGGCTCAGTGTCTGTTCCTCTAGCCAGGGTTTCACTTCGGCGTGCAGCTCCTACCTGACCGTTGGGGGCTGCGGCTGTAACGACTGCCGGGCCGCAGGGTTCCTGTGGTGCTGTTCTGGACTCCTTTGCTCATGCGCTGCCCAGAGGCCAAGCTGACGGGCTGGGCCGTAGCCCACACTGTAGTGCAATTCTCAGACTTCCTGCTATTAAGTTTTGGTCACTTTCACATGTAGGTTGTTAGGGCATCTCCATAGATGTAAAGAATCCCGTTCTTCATCCTCCTCCTCTCTGAAGTTTTCCTGTTCTCTGGTTAGGAAGGGAGGGGGGCACTGTCTTTGGGCGGAGCAGGGGGAGGGTTGAAGGGGTGGCAGCGAGTCTAGCTTCCCACTTGGTTTGCACTGTTGTTCATCCCAGCTCCCAGGTTCGGAGTACAGGTTCAGGCTTTCCACTTTCATGTCGTTAGACTTCAAATGTCTTGATATAATCAGCTGCTTAGAGGACCAGCCTTGATAGGTAATATTTGGGGGGGGGTGCAAAAGATCAAGACTGAAGGTCTCATCAGGGCAGCCCCAGGCTCTTTGATATTACTGTAAAAATGAAAAGCAAATGTGACACGTGCCTGCCCACCCATCAGAGCACATCTGGAGATCGAGGCCCGTGCTCAGCACTGCCCACTGAGGGACACTGAGGAGTGATGGGACTTGACTGTCCTCTGTGTGCAAGGAATGGTTGCAGAAACCAGAGAAGGCTGAGGTGGCCAAACTGGGAGCCATCTTTAAATGTTCTGAGGGATACTTGAGGTCTGGAACTTCATACCCTCCGTCCTCCTTTGGGTCCCCACCACCTGCATCACGCCTGACTCCGTTCAGTGGTGAAAATGGACTCTGGAAGAAGTTGGTTAATTACACCCGCTCAGGAATAGGCAGCCCATCCTATGAGTTGTGTGCGTGGGACTTGCACTTTGGAGGGTGCTTGTAGCTCCGGGGTTGGACATCTAGCAGCTGTGCTCAGGTACAGTCCTGTGACCCTGAGGTCTCAGAGCCCATGGATCTTGGACAGTGCTGAGTCCTACATATCTTAGTGGATCTGAGTCTGGAAACCAGACGCATCTACCCAGCGCAGGTCAGTGCTGTGCTGGCTGCAGTGCGGACACCCTTTTCCAGTCTGGGCCTGTTCGTCTACCAGGAGCTCCTCGCTTCCTGGTGTCAGCATGTGCATCTTCAGCCTCTAGACAGAAAGTCTACACTGTACTCTATGTGGCCTTGTTCCAAAGTCAGATTGATCCCCAGGGCTGCCATCTGCTTGCAGAGGGTGTCGACCTTGTTGAGGTAGTCGAAGCAAGTGAAAGTGAAGGTTCGTTCAGCAGCACTATTGGAGTTACTCGGTAGTGAGCTCTTCAGAATGAAAGTATAAATAATGACCAGGTAGCTATTTGTCCTGGAAACTGTAGAAGGGATTACAGATGGAATAAATCATTGAATATAGAATACATCTTCAAAGCCGCCTTCAGAACTGGTGTCAGAACCAGGTCAGTAGACCAAGCCAACTTAGATCTGGGGGGGGGGGGGGAGGTTTGATTTGGTTTTCATTGGTTTTTGTTTTTTTGGGGTTTTTTAAGCTATTTGCAGAGAACTGGGTGGTGGCATGTTTGAACCAAATGTAAGAAAAGCCAGAGGGACCTGGACTGTACCAGCATGGACCAGAGGGCCGGCTTGGGTAGGGGGGGTGGGGGAGCTGGGTAAGCTGCTGAAGGGGGTCCTTCCAGCTCTGAGTGTCTAGTTCTTGTGAAACCAAAACATTGATTGATTACCTGCCTCTGCCCATGTGCGTCGACATGCTCATTTCCAAAGATGATGGTGCAGGTGACCTTTTTCATCGCGAGCCAGGAGAAGGTTAGGAGGCCTGAGGGTGGACCCTGCATCCCCCTTGCCCTCACGGCCCCAGAAATGGCACTTCCCCTGGAGACCCCATCTGGTCCAGCCCAAAACTGCCCAGTGTACACTCATTGATGCTTATACCAAATAGGGCATGTGTGGCTGGCGGCCGGCAGAGGCAGCCCCATCCCTCATTGCAGTTGGCGGAGACAAGCAGCAATAAGCATTAGGCGAATGATTGAAAGTGCTCTTTGGCTCAGCAGCCTTCTGTCCACTTTCACGGCTTTCCAAGTTCCTGATGAAGCTACAAAAGCTTCCATCCATAAAAGAAAGCTAGTAATGTAAATAAATAGAAAACTATGCCTCTGAGCATGGTTTTAAGGGGGGATGATGAATGTGCACGCACCCACAGGATGCGGGAGTCTGGTTTCTCTGTGCTTTGTCATTTTACTCAGATAGGAATTTTTGTTACTTAACTCTGTGCATAACTTATTTAATGTACTGTATAAATGAACCAAAACTGTTAAATATGTATTTAGTTTGTTCTACTTAAAAGTAGTCAATAAAAAGGCTATATTCCTTTTCTGACTCGGGCTGGAACGGGACGGGGAGGGAAGGGGGCATGCACACTGGGTATCACCGTGCCTGCAGGCTTTCACGTCCGCCCCTCCTCTTGGGGTGGTGCCTCCAGGAGTTCGTGCCACGGCCTAAAGAGCACCCAGGCGAATGGAAGCTGGAGGTACTGCTGAGGAGCTGGTTCCAGCTGCTAGGCCTCTGGGAAGCCAGCGGGGAGCCCAGGCCAGTCAGGCTGGCTGCCCACTCTGGGCCTGCGGTCAAGGGCGGCAGCAGCTTCCAGACACTCCTACTACTTCTCTTCACTGTTAAGTGATCTTCCAATACAGAAAATAAACCACAGAAAGTGCAAAATAGGGTAGTGGACTTGTAGATACTTTTTTTCTAGTAGCTCTTACGTATTTCCTTAGAAATTTTTAACATACCTGGACTTGTGATTATTCATTCCTGTTCTTTTACACTGATGTTAAGTCACATGAGTTCACCGTTGCCTGCACGTTTACTTAGTGGTTGTATGGTTTAATTGAGGCTATAATTTTAACTCTACACCTCCTGTCAGGCAGTTGGATTGCTTTCAAGTTTTCCCTGTCCAACATACTAAAGTGAACATCTTTCTTGGGGATAATTTTCCAAGGTGGGTGTTCTAGAATTGAACATTTTTTGGATCCGTGGAGCATGTGTTCTGCTTTCCCTGAACGCCCACCAGCTTGCGGTGACTCCAGCAGACCCTGTGTAGTACCGCACATGGCTCTGAGGTGGTCCTAACCGGCTGTGATGTGACCCAGACTCCTGTGGGCACACCCAGGTACACCTGTATGTATGGAGTCCTAGGCTTTCGGTCCAGTTTCCTGTTCAGTGACCTGAGGACTCATTTCCCAAGGCCCTGGCCCCATCGTCACTCCTGTCACCTGAACACCCATCTCTGGCCACTGCCCTAGACCTACTTTTTTAAGATTTTACTTACAGAGAGAGTGTGAGTTGGGGAGAGGGACAAGAGGACTCCGTGCTGAGTACGGAGGCCAACGCAGGGCTCCATCCCACGACCCTGAGACGATGACCTGAGCCAAAATCAAGAGTCCGATGCTTTTGGGTGCCTGGGTGG